ATGCCCGTCCTCCAGTCCCCTTTGTAGAGGTAGCACACAGCTTCCCACCACATTGAAATTGGGGTGGGACCTCTGAATTCTGTGGTCAGTTTGGTCCCTGAGTGACTTTGGCAGCCTGTTTGAGTATGAATTTATTACACAAGCTACCCTTAATTCAGATTCTCACAAAGTCCTTTATACTAATGTATTGAAAAGCTTTCAAGGATAGCTTAATTGGAAACATTTTTATCAAGGACAATGCTATAAACAATGCTATAAGAAGTCTCCTTTCTGTGCTGCCCTAAGACACAAAAGTATCCCCTCCGAGGGAGAAACCCACGTTTCTAGAAGGCTTTGACAACCTAGGAAACTAGTGGAGAGACCAGGCCCTCTTCCCTCGTTCTTTTTTCCAGCCTTCACCTGTCCTTCCTGCCTTGTTTTTCCTCGGGGGCTAAAAGAGCCTGTCATTGTTTTCTACTTAGATTACTGTCCGGGCTGCAGCTCCAAGCTGATTTTCAGCTTTTGAAAGGCTCTGTCATCTCAGCCCCAAAGCCGGCAGCACCCCTTGGGCAGAGATTTACTAGCGGGCTGTATGAATCTCTGCAGGCGCGCACACAGTCTGGATGTGCACGGGATTATCATTATGCTTGTATTTTAGCGTAGTGTATGTACTTCACAAGCGCATCAGGAAACTTTTTCATGGACTTATTTGAGCATGAAGTTTTTAACATACGAAAGATATTTTTGTTTTCGGGTTTCTTCTGAAGCTCCCCTTCTGTTTCAAGTTGCAGGTTGTGCTTACTACTGCTCCAGGAGGGGCACTGTCCCTCTGGTGGGGGTAGGATCACAGATAGAAAGAAATAAAGACGGGCTCTTGGAGGGAAAGAAAAAAAAGGGGGGGGGTCGTCTGGGAATCTCAATAACATCTTTATTTCGCCTTTTTAACTCTCCGCCTTTCTGATTAAAGAGTTCAGACCTGCTGCCCCGCCCGCATTCAATTATGCTCGGCATCTTTTCTCAGAAGCTGTCAACTGCATTTGCTGAACCATTAGTCCGGTCCTTTCCGTTTTGCTTTTCTTTCCTCAGTTTCTCCCGCGATCTGTAGAACTCTCCCTGGAGGAGGAGCGTCCAGCGGGTGGAAGTCTGAGCACAAAGCAACCTGAGAATTTCAGCCCCTCTCTGCATATGCTGCTAAGTGCTTTAATCCCAATTAGGGGCGGCTGACACACGGTCCTATTCATTCTCATCAGCTCTTGAATACATTTGCCTAGAAATGAACTTCACAAATAGAGGCGCTCCTAAATGTGCCCAACAGCAAGGAAAATCGAATTGAGCGCGGGCTCATTCGGCAGAGGCCCGCGAGGCGCGCTGAATGTGGCGGTGCCCCAGACATTGCAATTCAGCAACACGCTCGCTGACTTTTCTTTGCGCCATGTCAACCGAAAGAGCCAAGAAATATGTTGGGGAACTGCGGTTAAAAGGCAACTCGAGACGGACTCTGAATACTTTTATTGAGCCGTTTCCAAAGGAGGACTTAAAAAACAACAACAACAAAAAGCACCACAACCCCACCAGCAGTGTCCGGGCTGTGTCCTTGGCTGCGAGTTTGCAGCCTCCGGCCGGCCGCCGCGCATGCACTGGCCGCGTAATTAAGCGGGAAGCGCCCCGTCCTGCCGCGTCATCTGGTGGCGTTCCCAGAGCCCGCGCCGCCGCCCCATTCAGGCCGGGCCTCAGCGTCCACCCGCGCCCGGGGGCGGCGCAGCTGGTCAGCGCTGACCCGGCCTCCCGGCCGCCGCTCACGCGCTCCAGGGCGCGTCCGGGCCAGTCCGGCTCCCCGGCTCCCCGCCTCCGCCAGCCTGCGGCTCCCTCCATCCGGGGCGCGGCGGGCGGCGGTGTTCTCTGGTGACTGCGCAACCCCGCATCCAAAGGGGAGGCCAGCGGGGGCAGCGCCGGGGTCTCCCCGGGAACCGAGGTCCAGAGTCTCCGCGCGGCGGAGAAGGGCAGCCCCGGAGGGCAGGAGCCGCCGACGTGGGAACCAGAGTCCTCTCCGGGCTCCTTCCGCAGGCGGACCGGGCAGGGCGCACGTGCTGGGCGCGCGGCATCTCCAGCCGGGACGGGGACAGCGACTCAGGGCTGCGGCGGCCACTGAGGCAGCGGGCTCGGAAAGCCGCCGGGGTGCCTGAGCTCGCTGCACTGGATTCCGCGGCGGGCCAGCGCTCCGGAGCGTCCGCGCCTCACCGGGGCGACCTGTCGCCGAGGACCGGAGCCTTGCGGGGTTCCGCGGTGAGGAGCAGGACCGAGACTCCTCGGTTAGGAGGGATTTCGCTTAAACAGGGGCTCTGGACACCCATTTTAAGTCGATAAAAAAGCCGGGTGGAATGTTTTGATTAAGTTTCAACATTGTCTTTGAATAAGGCTGAGACCATGTAATTAATGTGTCTTTTTAATAAGGGACAATGCGGCCGTTCAAGCTATTTAATTTCATTTAATTTTCCATCCCATTTGCTGCACAGCCCGCTTTTACTTTTTAACACCCAGCCTTTCACGGCCCATCTTGCTCCACTGGGCACATTAGGTTGGTTTCACCCTTGCTTTTTAGGGGAGGAAAAATAAAAGAAAATGTGTTCCTTTCCTCCTTTGTGGACAATTTATTTCACTTGGGGAACTTCAACTCTGAGCTACAAGACAGAATAAAACTCCAAGAGCTGGTGTGAATGCCTCTGGCGCAGGCTCTTTCTTCTTTCAGAGCTGGGAACCAGCCACAATTGGCTATATTAATAAATAACTTTCCTCACAGTCGGCCTTTACATGGTCCTATTGATAAAATTGTTCGCGTGTCGTTCACGCTTTTTCACTCATTAAGGAAGGCCAGGGAGGTGCCCCAAACCCAGGCCCTGCGCTCCCCCCCTTCCCACTCTAGTGCTGGTAATTTAAACTGGGAGTCATCCTGGAGTCGCCAGGCCAGAGGTTAGAGGGACATGTTCATGGCTTAAATTTATTGCCCTGGACTCTGCGGAGTGGCTTCCTCTCCTCCTCCCCTCCGCTGGCTTTTGCCATTCATAGGCCTTGGGATCAAAGGCTCCTTCTTCTCTCCCTAGGGTAGCCTAGGAGGCTGCAGAAGAGCTGTTGGGAAGTTAAGAAGAAAACTCAGTGGCAGCTCCCTCCGAAAGTGGTGCTGCCCAGGGACTGGTTGTATAAGCACAGAGCCCAGAAAGGTGGCCGCTGAGACCTAGGCAGGGATATTCTGTGTCCTAGCAGTTGTGTCCACATAGGTAGTGGATTTGGCCCCAAGTCTGCCTCACCACGTGTCCCTACATGGTCAGACTTGATACTTGAGGCCTTTGACCTGGCCTAGATTCTCAGATGCCTCCAACCCAAATGCTTTGGAGCACTCAAGATGCTACAGGTGCTGTAGGACACCTTCAACAAACACAGACTAAGGTGAGCAGTGAAGAGGGAGCCCTATGACTGTCAGCAGCCAACAGTCCCATTTTATAGATTAGGAGACTAAGGCTCTGAAGTAATTCACTGAAATCTTGAGTTGGCAACACATAGACTGAATGATTCTGGAATTTCCTGCCTCCAACATGGTGAACACGTTTCAAATCAGCAGTCATCAGCTTCTTTCAAGCCCTCCCTTAGACAAACTGTGAAGTTACAGATGTCACCTGTGTCTTGCCTTGTGGTTAACCAGAATCACTCTGAAGGCGAAACAACAGCATCCTCCTTCCACACTCCTAAAAACGCAGTGTGTGCCGCTGGGGGAATGTTCCTCTGCCCTTTATATCTTTTCTGACCCCAGGTGGGAAACCTATCAGTAATCACACCTCTCCAGGAACTGTATGGGTGTCCAGGGCCAGCTGCTCAGGGTCTAGGGAAAGGCTCCCAGTACTAGCAGTGCACAGTAAATCCCAGCGTACCTGTCACAAATATCTGATGATCTCCATCACCTAGGCATTATTTTATGTCAATAAATGTTTACATACAGATAGAAGCTTAACTCTAAAGTACATGTCCTGTTAGCTCATCAACTGTGTTCTTTTCCAAAGCCTTTGAAAGACAGGGTGCTTTCTTGTTTTTAAAATAAGCAAAGTTCAGTTGCTTGGTTCTAGGAAACGATTTTGTTCCCACTTGAAACTTAAAAGCAAAATTATTGATCAGCCTATGGGGGATTCGTGATTAATAACCTGGCAAAGAACTACCTCTTGTGCTCTCCAGCGCATTGATGGTGCAGGATCCCTTGTGAACCTTTGGCACTGGGGCCACTTCCTCTTCTCCAGAGAAAGTGCGGACCTTAGAGTGTACCGGTGTAACCGCGCCACAACCTCGAACTGGTCTGGAGGTTTCAGAGTTTGGGGCGAAACAGAGCATTAGGAACAATTAAGTCGGTTCTAAACAGACACTGGCCTGAGCCCAGTGCCCTGAAATGGTAATATGGTCGTTATTTAAAAAGTGTAGGTATTTTCTGGTGTCTTCCCATCAAGTACCTGCCTAATTTCTGTATGGCACACGCCAGAAATCAATAGAAGTTAACAAGTCCTCCAAACAGTACCCATCTCTTTGTTTAATCTCCTTTACAATAAAGCCAAGGGGAGAGAATTAAAAATCTTTGAAGTAGCCCAAGGCTCAAAGGAATCAGCCAAGTAGACCTAAAGTAGTCACTTATTTCCCAAAACTGGTTTGTCGGCGAACAATAAAAAGAAGTAAAATTTATGGAGAAATTATACAGTGGATTTGTCACTTAAAATATCGTAACTGTCTTGAGGACAATACCCCATGCTGAGGATTAATGGTCCCGCCGGACCTTTGATTCACCAGCGCCTTTTCTTCGCCCTTGACAAATTGGATTTTTAGGAATGGGAAGGTCGCCTGGACCATTGTGTGCTAGCCATTCAGAGGCCTTGATTATGCAGGGGGCTGAGGGAACCACTCCATGTGACCCTCTCGGGTGGGACTGTGCAGCTGCTTCGCGGCGCAACTCTCTCACCAAACTCTGCGCCCTCGCGCTCGCGGTGCCAAAAGGCGCCCGCCCTGATTGAAAAGGCGCAGGGCATGCCCGCCCGCGTCACTCCGCAGGCGGAGGACGCACGTCGGGGCGCGGCTCCGGCCCGTTGAGGCTCTGGCTCTGACACTCGCGCCTTGCCCAGGACTCCGCGAGCCCCAGCGCCTGCCAGGCGGCGACCGCGACAATGCAGGGAGCTGCCCGCGCTCCGGCCGCCAGCGTGAGTGCCGACTGCTGCATCCCGGCCGGCTTGCGCCTGGGGCCGGTGCCCGGCACCTTCAAGCTGGGCAAGTACCTGTCAGACCGCAGAGAGCCCGGGCCCAAGAAAAAGGTACTGGCCATTCGGATCTCCGCCCCAGCCGGTCACCTCTCCTCGCCCGGACCCAGGACGCAGCGGGGAGGGAGGGGAGGAAAGGGTGATTGCGCTTTTTACCTGCTAACCCTGCCCCGTGGAGGGGATTCTGATTTTTCCTGGCAACTTTCATTAACTGAGAGCTGGGCCTTGGGCTGGTGGAGCGGTAAGAGCAAACAGTGCTGCCCCGGCTTGCTGTGCCAGGCCACGGGGACTGGCGGTTTCCCCAGAGCTCTGGGGCGCTCCTGCTGCTTTACCCGCCCTTGTCCCTCTAGGCTCACGCATCCTTCCTGCCGGGGTTCCGGTCGTCGAGCACTTTTCTTCCCGTCTATGTATTAGAGGCTTCAATTTGTCTTTAAATAAGTTTAATCCCATTTTTTTCCGAAAAGATCATCTGTGGGAGGTTCTCCGTTTCTGAAATCTCCTCAGGTTTATCTTTTCACCGATTTACTTGCGGGTTTGGAGTGAATGAAAACGGGGTGGTGGCTCTAAAACAGGTTCAAAGAACGGGGGTACCCACCCGCGTAGGGCACGGGGTCACTACGCCTGAAGCTCGGCCTCTGAGGTACCAGGTCCCAACCCTGGGGTAAGCTCGGATTCCCTGCTGAGCTTTACCGACCAGAGGGGATTCAAAGGCTCTTGGGGGGCATCCAAGCACACAGCGAAGAGAAATGAAGGCAGAATTCTGGAGGAAGGAGGACTTGGCTTGGATGCCACCTGAAGCTTTCTAGTTGGAATCGGCCCCAAAGTCCAGTATCCGAGCTGTGAGACTGGCGTCTCGCTCCTCTTGGGTCAACCCTCTTGCCCCACATCCTGGTCTAACCGCTTGAAACGCCTCCGGCAAGCTAGCTTGTAGAAGATTTCTTTGGATGCTCTTCGTTCCCAGACTCGCATTGCTGGGCTGAGCTGCACTTAGCTGCTGTCCCGTGAGAACGGGGAGACGTGAGAAATGAGAGGACGAAGGACGCTGCCTGGCCCCCGAACGTGGCAGCGCTGCTTTCGGAACTGCAAATGGGAGAGGTGGGGTGGAGGGGAGGAAATGTCTTGGTGCAAGATGTGTCCAGGTGCTCAGGGAGGATGCCTTCATCCTGCTGTCTGCCGCCAAGATGGTCGTGCTGGTGAAGTTGTTGTGTTAGCCTGCCACCCTCTTTCTCCATTCTCCAAGCTAAAGACCCAAGAAATTTATTATCCTGTTCCCTGCAGCTTCTTACGTCTGTCCCAAGCCTTTTCTTGGATTGGGTGGGGTGGGGGTAAACTTTCCCTCCTGGGTGTGAGCGTGATCATGGTGCAGGAGAGAACTGGCCACTGTTTGTGTTTGCAGGTGCGCATGGTGAGAGGGGAGCTGGTGGACGAGTCGGGGGACTCCCCTCTGGAGTGGATAGGGTTAATCCGCGCAGCCAGGAGTCCCCAGGAACAGACCCTGGAAGCTATTGCAGACTTACCTGGAGGACAGGTACAATAGGTGCTCCCCCATCTCCACTCCTGCCAATTCTATCTGGGGGGGGGCCAACAATATTAAGAGAAAAGCGCTTTAGTTACAGGTCTCATGTAAATGTTCCCAGGACTCTATAAGATAGATGCTACTGTAGTGTTTTCCCCTTTGCAGAATGAAGGAAGTAAGGTTCAGAGAGATACTGTAACTTCTCCAGGGCCAGGCAACATCATCAGAGTTGGGATTTGAATCTTTTTCAGTTGCATTTTGACCAATAACTCAGGAAATGACCGAGAGTTTTCCTATTGCTTGTGTCCCAGATCTTCTATCGAGCATTACGAGATGTCCAGCCAGGGGAGGAGCTGACCGTGTGGTATTCCAACTCCTTGGCTCAGTGGTTTGACATACCAACAACTGCGACTCCCACGCATGATGAGAAAGGTACAGGCACTGATGAGGCCTCCAGGCCAGCATGGGTGGGCCAGAGTCCCAACCTCCTCCTGCCTTGGGGCCCTGGAGGGGGATGTCCCCAAACTTGAGGGGTTTTTCTTTCCATTTGTGTAAAACTGAATTCATGCTCCCTTCTTGGGCACGGAGAACACCATAGCTGTTCTCTTAAAATGAACAGTAATAACTGGTTAAAAAAGTGACAGTAGCAATCCTTGCTCATGATGGCAGGGGATAGTTACTCTTTATGGGCACCATAGTCTAGTCTTTTCTTATCACATATGAACTTACTCAGTTCAGAAATAAAGGGGCCTTAAAATTTGTTACAGTAATTACATGAGTTCCAGAGAACACAACTCAAATCTCAAATACTTTTACAAGATAGAAAAGTGTTTCCTCACTGGTTTTTGAGAACAGCAATGAATTGTTACAGCATTTAGAGACATTGTGGTATACTGCTGGACAGCTGGCAGGTAATAGCACTTATTCATTTCTCCCTTCTTTCTTCAATCAAATCTGGGACGTGTCCCAGTTTTTTCCCCTCAGGTTTATTTAATTCCTTCCAAAACCCAGAGTGGATTTGTGCAAATTAGGATGCAGCAACTAAAGAGACAAAGATTGTCAAACCTTCACTAGAACACTAAAAACACTTCTCATGGAAAGAATCCTCAGAGGTACTAAAATATCAAGATCTCCAGCCTGAGTCTGCTTTTTCAGATACAAAGCTTCCATAGTTTTTTTCCTTGCCAATTGCTTTAGTTTATCTGTAATTTCTTCTAAAGGCCCACTTATCATTTAGAATCACCACAATGAACGCTGTAAAATATTTCAACATGATCTTTTCAGGAACTGCTGCTCAATTTTATCCTTTAGAAAAAGTACAAAGACATTAATAAACATATGGGAATTAAGAAATACTTCATGACTAAGACAGAATGAAGTTTATTCAGAGTGGTGAATCACTTCACTTCAAAATGTATCTGTCCTCTGTAAATTAATTCTATTTGTGAAGATTTGAATGTACAATATTCATGAAAATTATCCTCATGTAGTTTGCTCTTCGGGTGACATTATCAAATTCTCTTGTCAACTTCTAGTAAAAGCAAAATGTAAGAGCCTCATTTTGGTGAGCTCTCAAATCTGCCAGTACTGAACAGTTTGGAGGGCAACTGGCCTTCAGGGCCTGCCATTTCTATCCACAACCCCTTTCCTTGCACTCCCAAATACTACAAAAGCAACTTTGAGCAGTGGCTCTTACGTTTTTATTTCAGCCAACTGATTTTGTAAACATGGTATGGCAACATGAAAAAACAACCGCTGTATTCCTTTGGGAAAAGTATAGATTATTTTGAATCTGACATTTCTTTCTTAGAGATGCTTTACATCTTATTTTATTTTGTACATGAAGGAAAGAAAACAAAGTCATTAATGAAGTGTGTTTCCTACAGTTGGCATGATTTGGACCTTAGTTCACAGAATATGTTAACTAGGGTGAACCAAAAGAGACACACTTTCAGGAAACAAGCATTTTTGCTTAAATCTCAGATAGAGGAAGAAATTAGATAGTTTCTAGTCTTCCAGTACTGGCTAAATTGAATGGATTTCCATTTTATTGTAAGATTAAGAACATTAGTACCCCATTGTTATAAGAACAAAGATCACTAGGCTTTACATGGGCTGAGTCATTGTAGGAAAGATTCTAGAAACTATTTAAAAAGAGCTGATGAGAAGGAGGTTCTAAATTTAAGAGGAGGGATGTTAAGATATTAAACCAACATAGTTACAAGGCAAATCCACAGATTGCTTCTTTCTTTCAATGTGTGTTTTTCATAAATGTTCACTAAGAAATAGTAGGAATATTGAAATAGCTTTATCTCAGTCTTCTATAAACAATTGGTTTCACAGGCAAGTCTTCTCCTCTCCTTCTTTTCTTCCAGCTTTCTCTTGGTCTTTGTTGGAACAAAGTGCTTGCTCCCCTAACTTCTATCTGTGTTATTTAGAGTAGCTACTTGCTTTATGCATATACATATACATGAAGGGGAGAGGATCTTGATTTCTCCTATTATTATTTCTGTAGCAATGTTTTAAAAGTTTGAACTGCTTGTATATAAAGAGGGAGGACTTTGCCTTTCCATTGAATTGGAAATGACTGACCTATAGCTTGGATACTTTCTGGTGGATCAACTAGCTTCTTTCTCATGGGTGTCCTTTCCCTCAGTATTATCAATCAACCATATTTAAAAATAGCCCTAGTAACAAGATAACTTCTCTATATGCAGAAACAGACATGACCTTTTAAAGTGAAAATTAATTTTTACCATCCGATCAGAACCTGTTTCTCAGATGTGTTCACAGACTCTGGTAAAATAAAAACAATGCTAATAATACAATACACTCAAGCAAAGATTTGAAGGTGTGATTTGACATCAAACATCTGTGTAGTATCTGATACAGAATTCTGAACTTATTAAAAGCTGAGTATCCATTTCTAGATTTTATTTTACATATATGAACATTTATGCAATAAAACACAAGCTAATAAATCTTCTCTAAGGATTTACTAAGCTTGGGTTTGCACAGTGATGGAGGAGTTAATGAACTACCACGTGGGACAGCTGAGGAGCTATGCAACATCACCCTTAGAACATCAGCATCCTTTCCAGAATTTTTCTCCCTTCAAATTAAATAGGGTTAAAGAGGAAATAAAGATACAAATAATTTTGAAGAATAGCAAATCATAGTCCCTATGTGGTCCTTCAATTGGTCACGCTCCAGGAAAACCTCAGGCAAAGTGTTTAAGGCTTGGAGGGGGTAGAGAGGGTGGGCAGTGGACACAAAAGACATTGTTCTATGAAAAGGAATGATTACATATGGCCCATACATACAGGATATTGTCTCGCCTGGTAATGAGGCACTCACGACTATTAGATTGGCCTTTGTTCAGTTTATCCAAACTCCTTGACATACGCCACCTATTCTGCAAAGGCCAACAGATGGGCCCAGGCACAGCGCAGCTTCAACACTTGATTTAAAGCAACAGCTGCTCTCTACTCTTGCCCGGCTAGCTTGCCTGAGCACAGCTCTTCCAGAGTTTGCTCAGACAGCCTGGAGAAAGTATTCCACGGAAGGCCCAGATCACAGCTCTTGGCCTCTCTGAATTCTTAGAGAATAGAGCAAGTGACAAGGGCTAGCCACTTGGGACTTTTCGCGGGTCTTGATACAGTGGAGTAACAAGCTCACTTACTGGTCCACTCCAAGAATTTATACTCCCTAGACTCATACCGCAGGTGGAAACCTGAGCTTCTTTTTGGGTGCCCTGGTACTTTCTCTCTTGCTCCTCAGCCTCTTACAGGGTCGCTTTCTCGCTGTTTTCTTGCCCAGGGGAGGAGCGCTACATTTGCTGGTACTGCTGGAGGACGTTTAGATACCCCAACAGCCTGAAGGCGCACCTGCGTTTCCACTGCGTGCTCAGCGGCGGCGGCGGCCGCGCCTTCCTGCACCACGAGCACGCGGTCGGCCACGGCACCGCCCAGGCTGCCGCGGAGGGCTTCGGCCTCTCCCCCAAGCCCACCGGGCCAGATTTCGCCGCGCCCGCACAGGCGGGCCCTCTGAGGCCCCACACGCTGGCCCCGCAGGCTCCCGCGGCCTGCGGCGCCCGGGAGGGCATCAAGCGCGAGGCGCCCTCCGCAGCCTCGGCCTGCTCGCCGCCCCCGGCCAAGTGGGGGCCGCCTAAGAAGGGCAGGGAGCCGCAGGACCGCGTGCTGGACGCGAGCGGGGCAGCCCGAGCGCACGGCCCCGTGGTGGGCGTCGTGGCGGGCTCCCCGGCGGGCGGCGGCGGCCTGGCCTTCTACCCCGGGGTGCGTTCGGCTTTCAGACCCGCGGGCTTGGGCAGGGCGGCGGCGGGCCTGCACGGCGACCCCTGCCGGGAGGAGGCCGGCGGCAAGCAGGGCAGGCTCCCGGGCGGGGGCCGGGCGGGCGGGCGCGCCGGGGCTGGGGAGAGCCCCGCGGCGGGCGGCGCGGGCCCGCTGCACCAGCACGCGCACCACCACCTCCACCACCACGCCAAGTGCCTGCTGGCCGCCGCCCCGCCGCCGCCGCCCCCGCCGGGCCTGGCCTGCTCCGCGGCCGCGCGCGGCTTCCCGCCGCTCCCGGGCGCCCCCGAGGAGGCGTCCGCCTTCAGACACGTGCAGCGCGGCCCGCCGGCGGCCTCCGGCCTGCAGGGAGCGCGCCTCGCCCCGCCGGGCCCCGCGCCCGGCCTGCCGCTGCCGCTGGAGCGCTGCGCCCTGCCGCCGCCTCTGGACGCGGGCGCGCTCAAGGGCTGCCCGGGGGGCGCCGAGTGCGGCCACCTGCCCGCCGTCCTGCCCGCCTTCACCGTCTACAGCGGCGAGGTGCTGTACGGCCCGCCCGCCGCGGCCGCCTACTACCCGCTCAAGCTGCACCTCGGGGGGCTGCTCAGGTACCCCGAGTCGCTCTCCTACTTGAGCGGGGCCGCGGCCGCGCTGGGCCCCGCGGAGCTGGGCTCCCTGGCCGGCATCGACCGCGAGCTCGCCGTGCACACCCAGCAGCTGTCCGAGATGGCCCTGGCCGGGAAGGGCCGCGGCCGCCTGGACTCCGGGGCGCTGGCCCCCGCCGCCGTCACGGCTGGCGGCCCCGGGGGCGGGGGCGGGGGCGGCGGCCCGAGCAAGCCCCGGACCGGCCACCTGTGCCTCTACTGCGGCAAGCTGTACTCCCGCAAGTACGGGCTCAAGATCCACATGCGGACGCACACGGGCTACAAGCCGCTCAAGTGCAAGGTGTGCCTGCGGCCCTTCGGCGACCCCAGCAACCTCAACAAGCACATCCGCCTGCACGCCGAGGGCAACACGCCCTACCGCTGCGAGTTCTGCGGGAAGGTGCTGGTGCGCCGCCGGGACCTGGAGCGCCACGTCAAGTCCCGGCACCCCGGCCAGGGCCTGCGGGCCAAGGCGGACGCCCAGCCGGGCTACGCCCCGGAGCCCAGGGACTCCAAGAGCGACAACAGCGACGTGGACGTCTGCTTCACCGACGACCCGAGCGACGCGGAGGTCGGCGGCGGCGATCGCGACCTGTGAGCGGGCGGCCTGCAGAGGAGGGGCCGGCGCAGGGTGCGAGGCCTGGGCGGGGAACAGCACACCTGCTGGCCAGGCCTGAGCTTCAGCAGGGTGCAGAGACAGCTCCAAGGAGTTCGTCCACCAGGGCGGCTGGGGGTGGGTCCAGGCCCCCAGGAGGCCTTGGGTGTCTCTCCCAGCTCGCAGAACCAAACCGAACCGCCCGAGGAGGCTCTTCTCTACGATTTCAAATCACATTAATACCAACATCACACTGCCCTCGAGGGCCCCGACTTTAACTGCCATCTATTTTTTAATTGTACTTTTCTGTGAAGGAAATTGTGCCTTTTGAAACGAGGTTTTGTGTGAATTTTGCATTAGCATTTTATTGTATAGGCAAAACACTAATCACAATTCGGTAACGTGACATCCATACATGTGTTTCTAGTTCACCCGTTCTCATGTCAAAGACTACTCACTGTCCCATTGAATTCACAGTGGCAGCAGGTGTACAAATTGGTCAAGTTGCAATTATTTATGAAAGAATAATGATAAATGTAAAATATCTAAAGCATGAATTTAAGAGCACGCAATATATAATTTTAAAGAAAATATCCTATTTGGTAGGGTACAAATGTGTATGTTGTTTTATAATGAATAATGTACAGTGGATACAGTATTTTGGTCTTGGTTCCAGTTTGTGCAATCTTTAAGAAAAAATAAAAATGTAAACAGAGTGTGTTCACTTAGCGATTTCACACCCTTTAAAGAAGCAGTTCAATTGGAAAACAACTTTTAAAAAAGTTTGAAGAGATTTCACGATAAAATAAAGCATAGGTTACTTGAATACTTTATTCATAGAATAAGTGTTAATGTTATCAGAAGGAAATACATCATTTTAAAGACACATTTCACAGGTTCTCAGCAGGCAAATTAATTTCTGAAAACATTGTTAATCATGTTTTCAACCTTACTGAAAGAAGGTAATGACCTTCAAGGGGAAAAGAGCCTTTTGCATAATATTCCCTCATCAAAAAGAGGTATGGAACTACAGAATTACTATTTCTTGTTGTTTGACAGGACTTTCCTTGACAGGCCAAAAAGAAACTTGCTCAGTGTTTATGAGCCATACAGTAAAATATTCATTCAACAAACACCAAAGCATTTATTTTGTGGAGGTGCTGACCTACTTGCTTTACCTGACCCCCTCCCCCCAGGAAGTCTTCTAAAGAGCTTTTGCTCTCAGTATTGGTTCCATTTAACAGAGGAGAAAGCATAATCTTCAAGGTCACTGGCAGGCCCATAATTAGAATAGCAAAGTTAGAAGAAATGACTATTTGCAGTTTTTAAAAAAATTACTGCAAGTTAATAGAAAGAATATAACTTTGTGGGCTAAAATTGGGAGGCCTTGTCCCTCTTCCTTTTGTACATTCTGGAGAGGAATTTGCTAGAAATGGAGGATTAGTCAGGCCCTCAGTTCAGAGCAGGTGACCCAAGAACCCAGGTGGGCAGTTTTCTTAGAGGTTGATTCAGTGACCCAGGAGCTCATCCACATATCTGAATACAGTCCTGATGAACTCAAGTAGATCTGCCCTCTATTTTCTCATTCCTGAATGCTTTGAAAGTCTTCCCCTGCTGTCTGCTATTGGGAACCCTGCCTCAGTCATCCAATGGTTGTCAAGCACTTTATCTGGTAAGTTATAGCAGGATCCCTAGGTGGGGGAAAGGCATCTGATTCCTATTAGTGGCTGTTGGAAAAATAATTTATTCTAAAGTGACTTGTGCAAATATTTATAGGTTAATAGTGTCAACTGACCATAACTAGTTTGCTTTATAAATGAAAGCCTAAATGGGGGAAATGTGTGGGTTACATCATATGTAAATATACTGATAAAGATACTACTACGTACTGATGACCTACCCTCTGCCAGATTCTTCTGCTATTTGTAGTCCTTTCCTCAGGGAAAAAGAAGACTATAGTTCAGGAATACTGTTGCTACCCAGGACTGGAGATGAACTCAGGCAAGTGCTCCCTAAATCTGATCTTCAAGAATTCAGAGTTTCTCAGGGCTGGGGATTTAACTCAGGGGCCTAAGCACCTGCCTTGTGAGCAGGCAATACTGAGTTTGATCCTCAGTACAGGTTAAAAAAAAAAAAAAAAAAGAAATTTAGAGCTTCACGATGCTGAGCTACACTCCCTCCCTGTGCTGTCCTTCCAAACAATTGTTTCTTGCAATCAAATCGAACCCTGTAGTGGAGTAGTGGAAACTTATTTCTGGAACCAGATCCTCTAAGGTCTCAGAGAAAGTGAGAAAGACCTACCCGATTTGAAACTTGGGAACAAGTTCTACTTTATTACCTCCCTCCCAATCCAACTTCCTAGCTCAGTACTTACTCCAATAACTCTTGTTTTGTGTGCAAGTACTCCATAAAAAAGTACATTAACAATAGCTTGGTGAAAGGAACACACTGCGAACTGGTAAAAATTTAATAAAGCTAACAAAATCCTCAGTCTTCTGTTTCTCCCTTTGTAATTTGGCATCTACTATTAGAAGAGATTCCAATATAAATAAAGAAAACTGAGCAAAGATTCACTTCTTTCTTTCTTTTTTTGTTTTTGTTTTTTGAGACAGGGTCTCGCTATGTAGTTTAGGGGGGCCTTGAACTCATTATGTAGTCCAGGCTGGCCTCAAACTTTTTGGGGACCTTTCTGCCTCAACCTCAGTGTGGGATTACAGATGTGTGACTAGCATATTAATCACTGGTGCCTACTGTTGCACAAAGTCAAATCCGTGATACACAATTAATAGCAACAGTGTTAAAGTGTTTCACAGGCTCAGTTGAATTAGTGTTTCTCAGATTACTTCCTTCAGTGTCTGCTTTTTCCTCTCCACTCTCCTTCACTCCATTCTTCTTATTCCACTGACCATAACTTTGAGGGCAATGTGGAAGCTGCTGGGAATTGCTGAGATTTTAACCGAATATTTTATACCAAAACATTAAATAAAAGATAGGAAGAAGATTCACATCCTTTAGAAGTGAAAGACCCTAGATTTTTGGACCTACCTGGGGCATTAAAATGTTTTGGCAACTTAAATATGTCAGGCTTATATGGTTTTAGTCTTACCTCTGGCACTAGCCTGGCATTTTGGGCCAGTCTCTGTGTTGCTTCAATTTTATTTGTTAAACAGAGTAAAACAAGCAATAGGGTAGCTGTGAAAATTAAGTAAGTTGATCCAAGTAAGCTTCTTAAAATCACGCCTATGTAGTAAACTCAAGTAATATAAAATAACTAGCAATCTTTCCTGCTTTCATTGCAACATCAGTTTAGGAGATAATAACTAAAGCCCTTTCATAATCATGAACATCTTTCTGCGGGGCATTTGCTTTCCTTGTGATTCACGTCCAACCCTTGGCCATCTTCGCATCAACGTCAGTAAACAAAGGCCTTTCATACACATGCTCAGCAGAAACTTCTTCAAGCTCACTTATCAGGCTCTCCATTTTAAATTCAGTTACCAGTACAAATGGTTTAGAATGGTTCATGAGTGAGAAGAAGGTTCCCCCTTCCTTCACTAATTTTTGAAATTCTACTTTATTGGGCAGTGATTGGGCAGTGAGGTTTGCCAAGGTAGTCAAGTTGAAAACCTTGACACCCTGTTTCCTGAATCCAGCAAGAACTCAGCAAGGAGTGCCGTCCTGCAAGGCCTTACCTATCTGGGGAGTAGGGAGTGTAATTAGCCTGAGGGAAGGTGAGGAGCTCGTACTGCAGGTTTTAGGAGCTGGAGAAACTAAAGCTGGCGACGCTGGAAGCTCGGAACTCGCGCGCGGCCAGAGAAGCTCTAGGTCTCAGCGTTCCGTGCGCTCCCATTGGCTGGGCCCTGGGAGCCGGGGTCGCCATTGGTGGCCCGCGGCGGCCCCGGGAGCTCGCGCGCGTGCGCTCCGAGCGCTGGGAGCGCGCTGCGCTGGGCGCTGAGGCCCCTGGGTGAGCGCTGGCGCTGGCTTCCGCGCCGAGAGGTTCCCGGTTCTCGGCCTCACCGTCTCTGGGAACCCGAGCTTCGGGGTTCCAGGGAGGGGTGAAGGCGTTGGAGGCCCGCGGTGCTTCGGAAGAAGGCTCGGAAGCTCTGGAGCGGGAGAGGCAGCGGACTCAGCCCGAAGCGCGGCCTGCTGAGGCCCGCCGCGCCCTCGCCATCTGCCGCCTCCCCGGAGAAGGGGCGGAGGTGCTGGCGCCTTCGGGACGTCCCGCGCGACCCTCGGCCTCCAGGTGTGTGGGGAAGCGGAGGACTCGACAGAAGGCGAGGTCAACGAGTTTAGGTCCAGAAGGAGCGTGGCGCTCGCTCTGGCCTAGGTGACCTTTCTGCAAAAGATGAAAGAGGAGCTTCTGTCACCTGCGACTACGGTTTAATTCAAGTTAGGTGGAAACGACGCGTGACAGACAACTTGTTAGAGGCTTTGGTTTGGAAACCATCCGAAGTTCCTTCAAAAACTGTTAAAGATATATGTACACATTTAACTCCCTTGAAAATACTGCTTTTATTTCAAGTACAATACAACTTTTTGAAATTTAACATTTCATGTAAATAGCAGACAAAACCTAAAGAGCAAGTTTATTAGAGAATATCAAAGTAATATGTAAAAGACAAGACACTTGGCGACTTAAGAGTAAGAGAAGGAACTGCTAAAAATAAAATACATCAGCCTTCTAAATGTCATGAATAGCCTCCACGTTTATTTTCTATCCCTATAATTTAGTACTGCAGGAAATGGCTGCAAATAACGCATTTCTTGTTTTAAATGTTGGCAGTAGAGCAGTGTTCCTGGAAGTTATTTCAAATAAAGAATGCTTTAAAATCCAGTGCTCAATGGCAAGTTGTATTTGACTGGGAGATGCTCTAATCTAGCAATTTGAACAGAAAGCCTTAGGTGGAAATGTCTTATGTGACAAGGGATGTAATGAAAGAGATACAATAGGAGACAGCTCTACGTAAAACAGGGAACGTCAAGGATTGTTTTTAATCTTTTTTAAATCACTGAAAAGTAGAAAAAATAAAATTCGATACTTGACACTGATCAGTTGATTCCTAAATTATCACCTTAAGGAAAATGGAGACGTGACCAGGTCACAGTCAATCACACTGGAGGGCATTGATCCATAGCAGAATGCATCTGTGAGCAACAAAATGCTTTCAGGTATGCTAAAAGTCAGGCCAATAAGAAATGAGTCAGTGTAGGATGTCACATTTTATTAGTTTGTGGATTTTCAGAAACTAGGAAAAAGAAACGCCTTAGCAATCTAGAAGACATAGAAGAACACACATTAGGGAGCCTGTGGGTTAGTTTTCCTGAATTATTTAAAGCAAAAGTGTTGAATTCTGGTCTCAGGGTGCTGGCTTTGCTATCTATAGCTATCTTATATATACTATATAGTATATTTATTGCAAAGTTAATTTGTGTAGTTTGAAACTTCATGTTGTTTTATTGGCCAGTGTTTTCATAAAAGGAGAAATATTAGCATCTCTTAAAGCTTTCTTAATAGAACTCATTTCATTAAATGATCATAATTTCATGTAATCTTTATAACAGTCTATTTTGCAGATAAGTAAAATAAGAATCCTATAATAAGAAACCAGCTAGAAATATTCCCCAGATTTATTCTTTTTCCTGTTGACTCCATAGCATCACATTCACATGTAACATTCACGTTATATGTCCTTTTTAGGACATGATGTGGGACGTATCCCAGAAATTGTTCAAATCCAATCTAATTGGATCATGTTTTTTTACAGAAAGATGATGAAATAAACTGAAAAATCAAGGAGTTCCCAGGCTTTTAAAACTGCGACCAAAGTTAGAGACCATCTTTGGCTTGGTATGTATTTGAAATTGTTTGTTTCTGGTATATTCCAAATAAGTTCAATCCCATCTAACCTGGTTTGGTTGTATTAAACACAAAGGTGTGACTATAGGGGTGAGTTTAGAATGGCCTCCCAGTGGTCCTGGGGACCCTAGGAGGAAATGATAATTTGATTCTCTTGAGAATTTCAGGACCACTTTTTTTGGTGTTGTCTTTTTGAGACAGGGTCTTGCTATACGATTCAGTCTGGCCTTGGGCTCACTTGGGCCCACCACCAGGCTGGTTTGGACTTGCAACAATCTTCTTGCCTCAGCATCCTAAATGCTGAGATTACAGGAGTGTGCCACCATGCTCAGCTTTTTCAGGACCACTTTGTACTACCAAACAATCACTCAATTCCCAAATTAAGTATTTAAAAATTTCCCAGTCTCTTAACATTCCTTGGGATTGGAGAACCCTTGGAGTGTAGTTAATTTAATTTTCCAACTTTTTTCACATGCAGCAGAGAGTGATACTGGGAATTAGAGCCAGGCTGGCATAGAAGTGGGGCTGGTTAGTTTGAAGCTACTCTGCTGATGACAGAGCCGAGGGTGCTGGTGGAGAGAAAATTCCTGGCATAAACTCAAAGTATAAGGCATATTATGCCCTTGGAAAGAGCTAGACTGAGGCACAATCCTTGTGGATACTGGTGGAACAATTAGAACCAGAAGACTGTGGTGGAATAGAGGAGATGGGGAAGGAGGAAGACCTTGGACAGTTGAAGCCTAGATGTGTTTTCTCGTGACAGTTAATTTTAAAGAGGAATATATCACATGTTCAAAGGTCAAAACTGTAAGTACATAGTCTAATCCCACCTCATTTCTGAATTCTCCTATTAAACCATAAGAGTTCCATCTTAGGTAATATATTGTGGGGCTCTCTGGCAAGAGACAAGAGACTCTTAACATGTTCAGAGGCCATGGTTCCTGTCTCTGCTGGGTGGCTCTGAACCCCTGGTGGTTCAAGCATGTGGTAATGTGGTAAGGTCTGTGCTTGATTTTAATAATTCTTATTTAACTTATTAATAAATAATAATTTAATAAATATTAAATTAATAAATAATTTAATTAATATTAATTCTTAACATGGACCTCCTAAATTATGTGCATTTGTTTTCTTTTTTGTGCTGTGCTGAGCATGTCATAGCAAGAGCTACACCATTGAAGGATACCTCTCAGCCCCTTACGAATTTTAGAACCAACAAAATCTGGATCTGTATTTGTTTAACTTATTTCCACTTTTTATATACTTCTAATTTTTCTTTTAAAAGTATAAACAACAAAGAATAAATAGTCTTTCTCCTTAAAAATCAAGTTTTAGATCTTTAGAATCTTAAAAATTGATTTCTGTATGTATTGTATTTATGCATTTATTTTGAGAAAGAGTCTCGCTATGTAGTCCAGGCTGGCCTTGAACTTGTGGCAAACCTCCTGCCTCAGCCTCCTTAAATGCTGGGATTTCAGGCATGCACAACCACATCTGGCTTCTATTTTATTTTATTTTTGTGGTATCAGGGATTGAACTCATGACCTCATGCTTTCCAGGCAGGCACTTATGCTGCTGAGCTAAATCCCCAGCCCTTTTTAAAAATTTTTCAATAATGTATCTTGGAAGTCTTTCCAGGAAAGTTCAAGACACTGTCCTCATGGTTTTTCATTTACTATTGCATAGTATTCTATGTGGTAGAAGTAGACAGATTATTTAAATCAGTTCTGTCAATGGATATTTGGGTTATTTTCAGTGCCTGATTTTTACTAAGTGATTTTGTGTGTGTTGGGGGTTAGGCATGTTTTAGAAGGTGTTATTGCTTTGACTGTGCAAGGAAGGGAGCCACCAAGGACACAGAGCTGGCTAGACAGTGTCAGAACTGGACCAGCCTCTAGCAGGCAGGAGATTGGCTCATTCTGGGTCAATCAGCTGTAGCTCTTGACCACGCTTTGTACAGAGTGAGACAACAATAGAGCCTCCACCCCATTCTGTTGTTTTCTTGAGAATTTGGCAAAGGACCTTGAAAGACCTTAACTTCAGAATTATGCTTCTCCAGGGCAAGCAATATGGCAATTTTAATATTAGGCAAATACTGAGAAACAATGTGTTTGCATGCATATGTCTTGCAATTTTTAAAGTTCTTTCTTATGAGTGCTGTCATGAAATTATGATATCTCTATGATGTACATTATCTAAAAACACCTTATATAAAACTGTCTTTTGGATTATGATTTAAACCCATGACTAGATGACTGGATTCTGGGCTATCATAAGTAGCTGATACTGAGCACAGCCCACACTAGTTGTAGAATAGTGATGAGCATTCCAGTAGGGAAACAAACGAATGCAAATGAGATGTACTTGGCCTTGGGACAAAGATGAAAATGACATTCACTTGTAAATGAGTTTTCTGTGTTTGATGTAGACAGAATGACATGTATTTTTAGGAAGACCTCTATGACCTTAGCACAGTTGTTGAATACATTACATGGGACTGCACGTGTTTCTAATATTTTGTCACTATTAGTGCATCTCATGATCTTACAATCTCAAAGTTTTAATGTTCTATAGAAATATTTTTATAATTTTCTGTCCTAGGAGATGGGCTGAGAGTTAGGTAGAGAAACTCATCACTAAACAGTCAGATGGCCCAGAATAAGACTTGAATCTGACAATTTGCTCTTGGACTGGAGAACAATTGATCTGATACAGTTTCAGGTTTAAGAGGGAAAAAACTAAGTTCTTAGCTTTGCCATTTTTGCCTAATTGTGGCCCCCACCTAAACATTTGCTCAATTTAGATGATTGATATGTAGCTTTGCCTTATTAATTTTCAGCACCCTTTAAAAATCTTCCCAATTGCCCCATGTGGTCGATTGCTCCTGTGAACTGCCATGGCAGGCGGTCTCTGATTTTGTCAGGTGCACGTAGTAAGCAGTGACTGTGCCATTCACTTTGAAAACTAGTTTAGGTACAATAAGTATTTCATCATATATTTGAGAATTAATTGATACTCTAAATTTTTTCTTCTTCTAAACATTGATGAAGCACGGAGAGTCTGCTACCAGTTAGACACTGCACTTAGGGACATAAAAATGATTAAAACTGTCCCAAGTCATTCGTGGTTTAATAGAGGAGGCAAAAACAGGGCTAGAAATTGGTAACACCATGGGATAAAGATAGCAATGGAGTATGTGTGAAAGGTCCCTCCTGTCAGAGAGAAGAGAGTAAGAGCAGGGAAGGAGTTATTTAGAAAAAACCTTCCCACAGGACATGAAGCCTGTGCTGAGTCCTAAAAGATGGATAAGACATACAGGTCAAGGGTAAAGGGACATGGAATGACATTTCCAACGGACAAGGTAGTATGAGCAGAGTGAGTGTCATGGACATATATCAAGAATTCCAGACAGTGCAGTGCTGTTTTGAGGCAGTGGCAGGTAGGCAATATTGCTAAGAGATAAGGGGCCAATTGTGAGAAAGTGCATACAGTCACTAAAGCTTATGTGAGCTTGGGTTGTAGGTGGTGCCAGATTTGTATCCTGACTCTTCATCTTCCAAGCACTGAGGGCTTAAAAAGTTTCTTAACCTCTATGTCCTCAATTTACTCATAGAAAAATGGTTACAACAATAACATTATATTTAACAGGATCTTGTGAAGCTTAATTGAAGTAATGCTATTTTGCAAAGTGTTGATCAAATGTAAATCCCAAAAGCCTATTGTTTTTAAAGTCTGGAGTTACACAGGGTCCATGGAGAAAGGGACCTTTGGAGTGTTTAACCTGGCACTGGTACACGGTTTGTCTTGCCACAGGACTACTTTGGAGGCAGGGAGATCACTTAGGAGGCAGTTTCATTCTATAATTCAGGTGATAGAGGATGAGGGAAAGTAGTAATATGAATATAGGCGAGAGGATAGAGTTGAATTTTTAGGACATAACTTTGATAGAATTTTTTGACCGAATGGAAGAATGTGTGAGAAAGAGTAAGCAGTCTCATGTATTAACAGTAGTATAGTTACGATGTTTTCAGTAGCATGGCACTGTGATATTACTGTGGGCAAATGTACTTCAGATCATGATGATCTTAGAGATGTTCTATTTTGTTGAGAGATACATCCCAAAAAGGAGAAAAAATTCAATACATTTGAATATGTAAAAACTATATGTTACTCTCCATAAAAATAAAACAAAACTGAAACAAAGATGACAATTATAATCTAAGGAAAATATTGGTAGGAGACAGTGATAGCAATATACAAATAGCACATCAAAAATTTTTTTATTTAGAGAAAACAGCAAAACAGTAAAAAGAGTAGAAATAATACAGAATTTAAAAAAACAGTAAGAAATCACTAGTTGATAAATTACATATTGTTATCTTGGAAGGAGTTACTCAAGTCACAGAATCAAAGCATAAAAAGTGGACAGTCAGACACTGACAGTACAAACTGTTGTGTTTGATGAGCTAACAAAAACTTAGTAGTATTGTTCTCTATCTTACACACTTAAACATACATGTACTTATATCCTTTAGAGTACTTTCTTTCCCTTATCACAATATCTATTATACATTTTGGATATTACTACTCTTTCAGATTTTTATTATTTTTGTACTAGAGACAATATATTATTTTTTATTTAAAAAAAAGGATTAAGATAAAGGAGGACATAACAACACAGGTCAGAACAGAACAATTTAAGTAACATAGTGTTTCACCACAAGACAACCCGACATAACAGTAGCTGCTATAGTATCTCTTTCCTTGAAATATTTGATTATAACTTCCTATACTGTACTACCAAACCTAACAAGACAATGTAAAAACATTCAAGAGAATGAAAGTATTGCAGAGTATTCAGAACGAAATAACAGAAAATGAACAATGGTTACTATATTATCTCCTTGACCATAAAACATTTTGTTTATTCTGTCACATATAATAAAATCCAGTAAGATACAACATGATAAAACGGATGGAGACAGAAGAAC